AGGTGCACCGACACTGATTTTCACTCTTTAGCAGATGGAAGACTATTTAGAATTGGAACACTGAAGATAACATTATTGCCAAGACATGTACCCTGGGGTTGAAGGGAAGGGAGCTGCCAAACAGAGAGGTTACGCTGGTGAGAAGCACCCAGACCACCCCAACTCCGTTGCATGAGGATCGAATGACCAATAACTTCTTTTATGGGTAAGGGACTTCAAAAAGAACTGTTGTCCCTGTGGAATGTGTCCAAGGAGAGATATGAGATGTGTCTGAGGAAAGGATCTAAGATGAACCAAGAAGTGTACAACCATTCAAGCAGATGGAAAGTGGTAGCACCGAGTGGACTGACAGACTTGTTTGTATGTGCATGGTGAAGCCTGGAGATGAGCTGACAGGGATGGCTGAGCACATTCTCTCCCTGAGGACTTCTGGATGGGATCCTTAGACTGGGATCTCCCTGTGAACTCAATGAAGCATACACCAGTTCCAGACTGTGACGCCATGCTCAATAGCTCGTGGGAGAGGAGTACAGTAAAGACAGTCTTGTCACTCTGGACTTCAGAGGTTACTGTAGTGGGGCTCAGGCTCTTCACTCTTCTGCTGTTGCGAAGGAAATGCTCCAGGCAGGAATAGAGTCCCAGGGAGGGCCATACAAAGGAAAAGCTAAGATTGGTTTGCTTCAGCTTCTGATGAATGGCAAAAGGAGAGAGATAAACAGGCTTTTCCTTCTGTTGCCTGGTCTTGCCAGTAGCTATTGGACTCTGTAAAGCTGCTGAGGTATTGCTAACTCACTGTGTTAGAATCTGCTTGTTAATTCCCCACAGGTGTAAGAGAGAAGTGAGGGCTCATTTGGGAAAAGGTAGAAAAAGAGGGAGTATGGAAAAGGTCTTGGAAGGAAAGCCAAGGACAATCAGATATAGTCATGATGCTTTGGCTGGGATGTATATTGAATAAGACTTCCGAATTGCCCATAAAGTCCAGATCCTGGCAGAGGATGGATTTGGATGCTAACTCAGCATTTGTGTGCAATGGTGAGAATACCATGGGGACTCAGTCCATTTTCCTCATTGAAATGATCAACTCAAGTGAATTAACTTAGTTTCTACCTCAGCCAACCTAAATCATTCTCCTTTGAAGTTCTCCTTCCTTGTTCATGCTATGCTTGTGCCATATATATAAAATCCAATGTGTCTCAAAAGCAGCTGTAGTAGAAACCATGGAAGGGACAGAGGCCTTTTATCCAACACAGAAAATTAATCCCATTTTTGGACACTGTAACAGCTCTCAGAGTAGAGAGACAGAAGAAGGTGGCACAGCCGGACTGCTGACTATACCTCTTCTTGCTGCCCTTGAAAGACTGATTCAGGGCACTTTGCTCACCCACACTAAAATGCTTGGTGAGTTAGAGGAAGGTGGAAGGCGTAAAACCTTGTCTTGATGCTACGTAAGGACATCACGTAACTTAAACTGAGGGATCAGTTCAATTCTGTAACTGTGAGCAAACAAAACTCTAGTGAAGAAAAATTGTTATAGGAAGGAGTGAAAAGGGGTTTAGGGACTGCCTTTTCTGTCATATCGCTCAGGGAGAAAATCTCAATGAAAGCCACTAGTATTAATGAAAGCCAATTGGAACTTGATAGGAATTAGTTTGCTATTTTTTCAGCGTTGGTGGAAACACAGGGATTTAGGAAGATTTCCTTTGTAGAAGCACATATAGGAACACTGTGATATCATCTCTGAGCTGTGAGATTGCACAAGCCTTTGGGAATTTGTATTACCCTCAGGATCTGGTTTGTATTCAGCTTTTCAGATTTCTATGGGAGACCAACAAACTCACTTTACTGGCACCCACGAACTGGCTGAGAACACACAAGCTCAGACACAAATCTGTGCTGTGATGGAACAGAAATTCAGGTTGCCATCTCCATTGGTTCACCTCTTCTAAAAATCACACCATGAACTAAGGAGGCGAGAGCCAGGATGGATAAATAAATACCTTTTCTCAGTGGGGTAAACTGCCAGGTCCAAAGGAATGGGTTTCAAGAAAGTCCTTCTCAAATCGTTAAACAGGTGCTATCAAAGAAATGGCCCATGAGAAAGTGGCCTCTGTTGCCCACTGTCACGATGGGTCCAAGAACTCAGGTGGGAAGCAGATGCAGTAAGTGGGGACCAGCATAGCACGTAGGGATGCCAGAGAAAGGCACATGCAAGCGATGAGCTATTTCCTAACTGCACTTGCTGGTATTGCACTTGCCTCTGCTCAGAGCCATTTGTTGCTCTTTCTCAGGAGCACAGCAATATTCCCTCCCATTTAAAAGGAAGGAGAAGGAAAAGCTCATCTGCGGGAGAGAATGGAGAAATCAGAGAGTGAGGGAGGAAGCAGCAAAGCAAAGAGCAGGTAGAGCACACGTCCGATGATGTCCATCTGTTCCTCATTAACCAGATGTCCCCCACCCACCTCCTGAAGTGCCATTGACTGTATATTGTCAGGACAAGAAGGGGATAACAATGCCACCATGGTGCAGACATTCATACACCAACAGGAGCCCTGCCATGCAGCCATCCCTCCCTCTGCTACCCTTCCAGATTGGATGCCAAGTCCCTTTTTTCCATAATCAGCTTTTAAACAGTTACATCCTCATAAAGCTTCTTGCATTATAATTGCCATGTGTTTCATCCCATTCTGAAAATTGCAAGTTATTTCAGCTCAGTTTACCAGAATCAGGCCTTGCTTCCTGTAAGTGTGTCACCACTTCCTGCAGTCTTTAACTGAGAGAAGACTGAATCCTTGATTTTAAAAGTGATTTCTGCTTGCCAAACTTCATCATTTTAAGAGTCAGAGAGTCCTTGGATTCACATCTGTACCCAAAGAACAGCAATAGATTTATGGTCAATTCAACCTACTAAAGATTATTCAGAAATGCAAGAAGAGCCATAAATTACTTTACCTATGTTGTTAGCCAAGGATCATTTATAATAAGAGCCATCGAGTCATCCTTATTCCAAGGGTGATGTGTGCATCGGTCTGTGTGTGGGCATGTCAGTGCAGGAAGACTCTCTTGTACCCTAAGCTGTATTCCCAGCCCATTCATAAGAAGCTTTCTCTTACCTCCATGTCCCTGATGAAACTGAAGCACTCTCTACCCTCTAAATCATGCTGCAGCATGGCTCATAAATTATAGGGTGCAAATGGACCATCTGCTGAGCTGCAGCCATAGACAGCATGATGCTTCCACCTATTTCCTTTTATAAGAACATGCAGGTTATAATATATTCTGGGACCCTGACTCATTATTGTGATGGACTTGGCAGTGCTAGGTTAATGGTTGGACTTGATCTTAAAGGTCTTTTCCAAACTAAGTTATTGTACGCTTCTATTACTCTATATAACAGCTAGAAGATAATCTGTGCCCTGATCTCGTCTTTTTCCTCCAAGATCTTGTGGAGGGAACTTGAATGTGTGGAGGAAATCCAGGTGGGCAGGTGTCCTCCAGAACCAGCAGCTCTGAACACTTGCCACATGAGCAGCTGAAGGTCCCAGTTGCTTGTTCAGGTAAATACCTCTATGTCTTTCAGAGTCATTGTACTTACTAAGCCTACAATGCTACTAGAATAGCACTGAGCTCAAACACCTCTTCCCTGGGTGCCTGCTGTTGAACAGTTGTTCCTGAGCCTCATGTTGATGTGGGACCTTTACATGAGTTGTGCGGCTTTCTTGATGTCACGGTGTTCTTACACTGCTGTAACTAATAATGTAGCTTCAGCGTGGGTGCCTACTCCCTATTAGGCAGAAGAGTCCTTTATGCATCATTGACTGCAGCTGGTTCTTGAGCCCTGGTGGGTGATGACTGAGATTGAACTCAGGGGTGATGGGATTACTGAGCCCTGTGCACAACACAAAAAGCTGAACAAAGCCAGATAAGGATGGAAAAGATAAAGAAAGACTTGGGGAATGAACAAGAGGAAACTTCAAGAGGCAGGAGAGAATGGGTGGCAGAGAGGGGAGTGAATGGTTTTTGAAAGGAAAAAGGCTAATTTAGCAAAGGGAATAACCACATTCAGAAAAGACAAATTATGAGCTGGTAATCTGAAGGGAGGAGATCCCCCACTGAACCAAAGAGAGAGGGAGCAGTGGATGGGGACATGTGTTTGTTGTTTTCTCATGATCTGTATTTTCTGACATAATGCCTAGGTTCAGGCATTATGTGCAAAGTTCACCTCTACCACGTGTGTTACATCTAGCAGTGCCTGATGAATTAAAGTGTAAGCCGAAAGGCTCATGCATCGTGATAGAATTCTGTGAAAGGCTGCACTTAAGCTACCTGGGGAAGTTGTGCAAACCTGCAGCGACAGATAACTGCAGCAGAAGGTCAAGTGCTCAGGAAGGGGTGGTTGATAGAGGCTCTATGCCCCTCAAGCATCCCTGCAGATGCTCAGTCAGGTGTAGTGCTTTCGTCTCTCTTTACGCTCCAGAAACTAAAAGCACATTGGAAACTCAGCAGCTGGATCCTGCAGCAGGAATCTGATTAGTGTCCAACAAATGGCTCCTAGCCAGGTTTGTGACAACCTGATCAATCAAATTCAGAAAATCCCTTTTTAGCTCAACAGCTGACACCGGGACAGATCTGGGAACATGTTTGGGAATTGAAGGCACCTGATGAACATGAATGAGAAATAAAAAAAAAACCTATCACAGACAAGCAGGTGGAGAAAGAAATGAATGGGTGATGGTGAGATGATTCCTTGGGCTGGTGTGTGGAAGAAGGCAAGCAATGTAAAGTGCCAAACTGTGCCTTTGCCTGCATCATGTAATACCCATGAGGCTGCACTGTGGTGGGAAGTTAATGTGGGTGCATTTCCATGTTGTGCTTTTGCAGTAGAAAAACACACCTGAACATTTCTCCAGGTGAGTTACAACTGACATGGAAAGCCTGAGGAGAAAGCTGGAATCCAGCACGACATGGAAATGCGTTAAACACCATCTGTGGCATATGTACACAGGAGCTCAGTACTGGATCCTTTGTACATCACAAAGGTTAAATTATATAATCTGTGTCATAGCCTCATACACATCACGTCTGAACACAAGAATCAGTGGATTACGCTCCCTTACGGCAGCAATGGACTGGACCCAGTATGGTAACTTCAGGCCTTACTTCCCTGACACTGCCCAAGAACAGCATGGATTTTCTTTTTTTCCTGTTTTCCTTTTCTGTTTTCTTCTTCTTCCTCAAAGCGTTCCAGAGTTGGTTTGTTTTTTAGTAAAATCTTTTTAAGGTGCCAAGTAAGTCTGCAATTGCAGCAAGAACAATACCCCAGTGTTCTGTCTTTCCCCTTTGGTTCTAACAACCTCTGAGTATCAAACAGGCTTTTATTTGGGGAGAAAAAAGATAATAACGAATGACTTAAAATAGCTCTGCTGAGGAAAATATGAGTTTGATTTCAATTGCAGTGGGAATAACTTTTTTTCCTGGTTCACTCACTGACTCCAATAGAAGACCAGCATCAGTGGCTCCTGCAGAGACCTCCTATATTCAAAGAATCTAGGAGCTTGCAAGAAGTACTATAGAGCTTGAATTGGCTCTAATACGTTACTGATTGCAATCCATGGTATTTCTGTGGTGATTTAGAGATCATCTATGTAAGATAGTCAGTGGAGCCAGGTAAACAGTGTTGGTGGAGTGATCTGGATATGGACTTCAGACATGGAGAGAAGTTCACTTCTACTGCAGTTTTTGTGTATACTTCGCTAACCACTTAACCTTTCTGTGTCTGAATTTTTCCATGAGCATGGGAGCATTTTCCTGTGCTCCAGGGACTCTGGGTGATGAAATGCATCAAGGAGTGAAAACCTATGGACTACCAGAATGACTTCTGTGGCTATGAGCAGAGGACAGCAATGGCATGTGTAGAAACCACAAGCTGAAACCTCACCAGCAGCATTGCTTTTGTTGATGAAAAATGGGACATCTCCTTCAGTAAATCATCTGTTAGTCTTTGTTTACCTGACCAGCGATGGCACTAGTGGGTTGGGAATGTCATCCTGATTGGTACCAGTAAAATTTCATACCACAATCTGCCACTCTCTATTCTGGAGGTGCCATTTGTGTCATGGAAAATGAATTTATTTTGAGAGGTTTAAAAATGTTATTGAGACTATTCCTGTGTTCCTTCTCTATAAAAGCAAACATCAGTTACTACTCAACTAACCGCAGACCTCACAGGAGGCCATAACGGTCTTTTAAAAAATCCTGGAATAGTCTGGAATGTCAACATTTGAAGCTCTTTCCATTAAAAATGACTTCTGTAGGGAAGATGTGGATTCCCAGCTTTCCCAGTGGTATCTGAAACACAATGGGTAGTGTGGGGATTAAAGGTGGCTTTGTGATGTGTTTGAATTTTTCTGACCATCAGACCAGAAAAGATTGGCTTAGTCTCTGATGCAAGTTAGAGTACCTCAGGGCTGTTGTAACATATACCTGGCCAAATCAGAACTCAAAACAAGGTGCCACAGAAGCAGGGGACTCCTGGAACACGTCTTGTTATTGTCCCTATTTGTCCTTCAGCCTCATCCCGCAATTGAGGGGAGGTGTACACATTTCTTGGCTGTAATTCGTCTGCAACAGGGAAGTTAAACCAGCAATGTACAACAATGTTAGCAGAGGTCAGGATCTATTTTGGACTTTGTGGAGTCAGGCACCAATATAATTAACCAAAGTAGCACAATGTTTTCTGTTCTGAATAAAAGAGAAGTCACTGGATCAAGTGCCTAGTGTGGGCCACGGGCAGGTGTTGTTTTGGAAGGGACAAATCACTGAAGTCAAAGCGTTTAAATTAATAAACCAGGCAAATGCACATCTTCCAGGGAAGAGGTATTTCAGTCAAGAGAAGAAGCCTTAACCAGGTGCACTAGAAGGCTGCGCAGCAAACCCTTCTCATCATTCCTCTGACATACTCCAGCACGGCTCCTCGTGAGTTCAAGAGATGGCATCTGAGGAACCCGGCATGACCCCATGACCCAGCAAAAACCTGTATGACACAGCAGTACCTGATATATCCAGTGCAAAGCCACCACGATAACCTAGCATGACCCACAAGGTTGACCCTGTGACAGCATTTGATTTATTACAAATGACTTGGATTTAATCACTCACCAGAGAATGCCGAATGACGCAGCACAGCGTTGCTCGCTGTGGCTCTACTGAACTGGCACACACTGATTGGCTTTGGGAACACACCCATTGTGTGATTCATCCAATTAAAGAGTGGCCAATGCTAATGAATTACATCTCTATTTTATTCGTAGCACTTTCTAGCAACCTATTTAGGCATTTCTGCTGCTCTCATCACCTTAAGGTATAAGTACATTGTAATTGATGGGCAGTTGAGATTAAAAGGAAGACCTGGTTCCTAACAGAATAGAGTTGAATAATTTGTGCATTTATAATCACAATGCAAATGTTCAGTCAGCTAATTAATTACTATACTGGCTTAGCCCGTATAGGATGTTGTCCCCCACACCAATAACATTATCATAGAACTGCTAAGGACTGTGTGTGTACTAAGAAAACAAATGTTAAAACATTGTTGTAAAGCATGTAAACTAAATCTCAGATATGTTTGAAGATTTCCTGCAGGCCATGAGGAAGGAAGACACTGTGGTTCTTATCCACTGGAAGGAAAAATAAAGGTAGCTTCAAGGTGCATAGCAAACTGCCCGCTAAGATCACTAACGTATTAGCATATGTCACCCAGTGAACAGACGTAGGGCTTAGTGCTTAAATTCATTCTAGCTTTTTTCACCCCATTTAATAGCACAAAACTGCAAAAAATCTGCTTAAATTCCATCTGAAGACATTCTGTATGCAGGGGAAATCCCAGATGACATAAGTTCAAAGATGTGAATATGATGGTAGTTTAAGACTCTTTTGTCCTCTGTCATTTTGGACTGAGTATAATCCAGTCATGCTGAAAGAGCTAGTCCACATGTGAAGGACAGCCAGTAGGGTCTGCATGAACTAAACTTGTTCAATAGGATTGCTTCAATCCTCACAATAAACCTATTTTTCCTATTAGAGCCTCAGTTTCCCTTAGTCTTTTTGCATGTTCTTTGGTCTAACACCCATGAGGTTCCAGCTCACTTCCTTCCCTGCATGAAAATTAAACCTCTCTTCAGCTGTAGGCTCTACCCTGATTCCCTACTCATTTTGCTGCTGTACAATTAAAAAACAGATTCTCCCTCTTTCACTCTCACCATCCTACTAATCTAATGCCCTGGTATTATTCTCATAACAGCATGCAGAGATGTGAACTGATCTGCCTCCCATCTTGTCATCTTCTCTTACATATCCGACCCAGTTCTCAGGGTCTGATTTTGTACAACTATGAACATTTATTCTTGAAAATTGATCACTGGCCCAGAGGCTAAATGTTTGTTATCCGGAAAAAAAAAAGACCACATTACAATTATTCTTATTTTAGGTCCTGAAAAAGGCAGGAAGTCCAACGGCATTAGCAGTGAAAGGAGCAAAGGTGGCTTAAGAGGGTCTTGGCAGGCTCATGAAGTCACAACATTTGAAAACAAAGTCCACATTTGATCACCTATCAAGAATTTTATCAATAGCACAGGGATTAAAAACAAAGCTCTTCTACTTCATTAAACACATTCAGTGCCGTTTGCTCTGCATTCCAAATGGCTGAACTGATGTTCCAGTGCAGCCTATTTTTAGTATTTCTGATTAGTTCATTATTTGGGAAAAGCTACTGACTGTGTATCTGTTGCAGAGATCTAATTCTCCACTGGATTCCAAAGAACAGCAGGTCTACATATAGGTCTGAAGAATTTGTTTGGGTGTGGGTTCAACCTCTGTCCCTGCTGTGGTGCAGCTCAGTGAAGTGATGGCCATGGAGCCTTCATCTCCTTGAGTCCTTTTCATTTGTTTTTATTGTGGGGAAGAAGCCATATAGCATATTACACCTTTTTCTGAGTAAACTAAGATCAAGAATGACAGAAAACTAGCAGTCTCAGTGAGAATTAAACAAGATACTCAAAATAAGTGATCTCTTGGGTGTCTGAGTAAATTGCCACCTCCAGATCAGATTTTATTTATTTTAAGAACAAACTTTTTTTTTTTTTTGCTGGTAAATCCTGCAGTTTTGTCATGAATCCAATGAATTTTCACTGGTAAGTGACAATCCTAGAAAAGGAAGTGGCCGTGTATGCTCAGGGCAGATATCACATGGGCAAAAGCATTCCAGCACTGCCTCTTCAGCATGCTTCAGCCCTCATGTGAAAGGACAGGATCTGCAGGTCACATGGAGATTTGTTTCTGTCTCCTTCAACCCTGGTTGCTAAAACTGCAAAAGGAGAAATCCAGCTGTGATGGCATCTGGGGGCTCCAGATCTTTCAAGCCCTTGGAGACATGTTTGGAACCAAGCTTCCTTTCAGAACCCCAAATAATACAGTACCTCTCCCACAGGAACAGAATGAGGTGTGATCATTCTTTCCTTTCAGACCACCTGTGGTCACCAAGCATGGGGAAGAACCCCTCCAACCACTCAGGCATGCTCATATGGGAATACAGGAATTAGATTTGGATTGAGAGCTGAGAGAGGCTTCATGGCACACTGTAATGTGACCTTGCATGGGTCTTGGAAGCAGCACACCTGACTAAGTGCTGCATCCTGACAGCTCCCAGACACACTGCTAATTTGCCTGTGCAGAGCACCATGCTTGAGTAGCCATTAGGGCTTGGAATATTTAAGCTAGCTTGCTTAGAGATTTTTGGGTATCTCCTTCTGGCACTGCCTGGTGCTGGGCAGATGTGCCCTGTTCTGCATTCTGCTCTGCCTGGAGAAGGAAATGAAGTCAGTTCCAGGTGTAATACACTCTTACTGATGTCAAACGCAAAAATACAGAAACAAGCTCTACACGTTTGCTGTCTTCTGCTTTGCTGCCCTTCATATGTCGTTTGTCATCTTAGATTGTCACTTCTTTGATGTGGGGACAACAGCTTTCGTGTATGCATGACGTCTAGCATAAAGGTGTTTCCACCCTTCGTGAAGCATTTTGGTGCAGTCGTAATGGCAGCATGGCAATAAAAGGTGAAATACTCAGAAACCCTCTGCCAAAGAGCAACAGCCAAATAGGAGCATTAATTTTTGGTTCTGCTGATCACCTGGCCAAACCATGGGTTCTTTACTATGAAAGCTGTACTCCAGGCCTCCAGAAGAAGGACAGATGCGTGTGTTTACAATCCGTGAGACCAGCAGAGAGCCTCACTGTAGGAGGTAGCCATGTCTGCCTTGAGTTTGTTGTATAGATAAATTTCCTGGCATCACCAAGCTGGGACAAAAAATTTATACTCGGACTCTTTTGATTCTTCATTTTCCCAGCTTTCCTTTGTTTTGGGTCTTCTCTTGCCTTGTGTTTCCTTCTGGCCAGCTGTGCTTCCCAGCTGCCACAGACACTTCCAGGCCCAAACATCCCGCTGTTTCCAGCATGCAGAGATGCTTTCCTCCACAGCTGAGTCAGTATACTTCCATAAACAACCCATCCCTTCGGTTTCTGCGGAAAAGTATAAATTCTCCTTGGCCCTGGTGCCTGTACATCCCCACAGTGCTCTTTTTCACAGTCTTGCTTTGCTCTGAATGCTTTCCCCCTCGCTGTTCCTGCAAATGTGAGCCAAGCTGTAATGATGCAGCACACAGAAAAACACCTTTCTCCTGTGATCTTAGACAGCCCGTGGAATTAATTCCTGGAAAGCCATTCTTGGCCTTTCTCAGTTATGCTTTCCTGTGAACACACAGACAAAGCGATGACTGAAGAGGGGAAGAGTGGAACGATGACTGGGGAAAAGTGGTGCAATAATTAGGCGCCGTCTGAAATTTAGGAAAATGGTCAGTCCATGCTTTTCCTGCGTGCTGCGCTGCTGTTTGCGTTGCAGTTCACTTGGCAGGGTAGACATATTAGTTTCTCTGTTGCTCCCTTGACCAACAGCAAAACAGCTGCACTGCTCTACTCTTAATTGTTATTTCCTTCAAGACTATTGAGTACAGCTGCAATGGAGGTGTCTCAGCTAGAAGATGTGGTGCAGTGCTCAGCTCCAATTAATCTCCAATACCAAGCCTGATGCCAGCTTCTCTGTTACCTCAAACCCTTCCGTTTTCATTATAGATCCTGTCATCCTCCCTGGTTTCCTCCCACACCTCCTATTGAACTTTCTTCTGAATGTTCTCTTCCTTGAAAGGAACACATGGCTCCCACTTTTGGAGGCACAAATGGAGCAGGAGAGATTTAAGCAACTCCATGACTGGCATACTTAGGGGTCTAGCCCACTGTGCAATCCCTTCCAGCCTGGCAGATAGGAAGGAGCCTAGCTCTGGTTATTTCTTGAGGGAGCAGCTGCATGTCTCCACTTCTGTTATTTTACAGGTCAACTTCCAATTTCTTTTTTCTGCTGCATACACTGAGATGGTAGGGCTCCAGGCAAGCAAATTATCTGAGGAATATCTGGGACAGAGGCTTCTACACCAAACTGTAGCACCCCACCCCCCCTGACATCCCAAAAGCACATGCTGCAATGCTGCTCAGAAGCAAGTTGGAGAAGATAAGAGCCTGGAGATAGATATTCCTGGACCTTTCCTCTCTCTCAGCTGCATTTCCACAGTGCACTGGAGATCTATGTCTCTCAGTTGTTTCCGCTGGACACCAGCCTCTCTTGCTGTCCCCAAAATACTCTAAACCAGATCTTCACCCTGCCTACAATGTTCCCACTGTCTGTAGGCGAGTATGAACTCCCAAACACAGGGAAACCATCCGTCCTGTTTTCGTTGTCATTCAGTAAAACTTCATAGTTGCTTCAGCTTATTTCCTGTACTTTATTTCAACTCTCAAGCACCATTCCTTAGTCTCTGAATATTTGATTTCTGCCTCCTTCCCCAACCTTCATGCAGGATGACATTCTTTTCTACTCTAGTCCTTTCAGGCATTACTGATCTTGAAGCTCCCCAATTACAACCACTTTTCTTCTGATGGTGACACCTTAAGAGACATCAGCAGCTGCCTATAAAGGGCCTCTGCCATCTGTTTCCTCTGCCACTTCTTTGAGACAGCTCTAGCTATATACAGAAAAATATTTATCACAGTTCATTCACTCCCTCACTTAAAAATGAGCAAGAGAAAAACGTCTTCTTTCATGATTCTGCCACTGCCCTTCAAAAACCCATGACCCTCAGCGTAAGGAAAAGGGCAATGCTTGACTCTAAAAGGAAGCAGCAGAAACTCTTGTTGATTGATCCCTTGAGACCCTGTACTCCCAAGGCAATTCTGGGGGGCATCTGCATTCGGAAATGACTCCTTATGGCTGGCTGAAAGGCAAAAGTCAGAGCCAGGACACTTCATTTCAGCCATCAAGCTTTCATACCAACCGTATCTGAAAGTAGATGCACATGTGCATGTGTGCACATATGCACAGGAAAACACACTTAGTTGTCAGTCCT